AAACATCAAAATGGGGAAAAAATGTGATCTTAGTGACTTTGACCATGGTGGTGCCACATGACCTGGTTTAAGTCTTTCAGAAACTGCTACTCTCCTGGGATTTTAACACACAACAGGCTCTAGACTTTACACAAAATGGTGCGAAAAACAAAAAACATCCACTGAGCAGCGGTTCTGTGGGTGGAAGACCCTTACTGATGAGAGAGGTCAGAGGAGAATGGCCAGACTAGTTCAAGCTGCCAGAAAGTCTATGGTATCTCAAATAACCACTCTTTACAAGCATGGTGAGCAGAAAAGCGTACAGCACATCAAAACACACAACACTCAACATACAGACAGATGGACTACGGGTTCCACACCTGTCAGCCAAGAACGGGAATCTGAAGCTACAGCGAGTACGGGCTCACAGAAATTGGACAGTTGAAGTTTGGAAAAAGACCAAACAAATGTTTTGAGCTGCTTTTCTACTCATCACAGTTGCAATGAGTGGTAATCTGAGTTATCATATCCGTCCTGTTTTGAACTAGCTTTAACCAGTATGGTCATTCTCCTCTGACCTCTCTCATGAAGACGGCGGTTCCTCTAGTAGAACTGCCACTGACTGGATGTTTTTTGTTGTTCGCACCATTCTGCGTACACTCTAGAGACTGTTGTGCGTAATTCACACCAGTCGCCCCTGTCACTTTCACTAAAGCTCAGGATGATCACCTACCTTGAACGACTGCACAAATGTCCAAAGCAGGATGCGGATGGTGTAGCCCTGCCGGAGGAGCTTGATGAGACGGGCCGCTCGGAACAGCCTTAGGAAGCTCAGGTTTAACAGACGGTCCTGTGGGGTTACACCTGCCTTCATTTAATAGCCCCTCCTTCATTTACTCATCTAACATATGCCTCTCTATAGGTATTAATCAACCCAAATGGCTCATAGATTTGATATCTTTGCAAAATGTTAGGGCTCAGTGAGTGCTGACATACCCTGACACATTAACCATCAGAGAAACGGATATTCATAAAGACAAGAAGACGTGCCACTCACCGTAGTCTATAAATGAAGTGCATATATCATGGTAGCCAAGATGGAGTGAAGACAATGAACAATACCAAGAAAAAGTAGAGAGGAAGGTGATACAGAGTAAGAAAGCAAGAGAAAAACAGGGAAACATGAACAGCCGTCACATACAGAGAAAGTTACAATACAAACATTAACATTAGTAACACTTCAACACAGTGACATGGAGATTAAAACACACAGTACTACTGTTTATTACACCAAGAAACTGCATTTTCGTTCCATCCCTTCCTCTTTAACCTTCCTCAATCTTGACGGTTCACTTACATTAATCTCAGTGACCAGGATATCCGTAATACTCCCCAGCACTGTCACAAAGTCAAACACATTCCACGCATCTTTCAGGTAGTTCTGTAAAGACAAGGTTTAACTTCATCACTTGCTCACAACCCCAAGATTTTATCCATTCATCACTCTCATTTTAGATTTTGGTCAGTAAACTGCAAGGAACACAGGTGAGAACTTACCAAAGGGCCAAAAGCAATGATCTTCAGAATACACTCCAGTGAAAAAAGGGCAGTGAAGACGATGTTGAGATACTTCAGCATTGCTTCATAGGCGGCTGGAGCATCGTAGTACTGTTGGGTCAGAAAAAGAAAAGCAATTGTCCCAAAAAAGCCTTGTTTCAAAGGTTTTCATAAAGCTGAATCAATGACTAAGCACATTCAGAGTGACAAAAAGTTGTTCTATTAAAAAAGGTGAAAAAAGGTGAAGAAAAGTGAGAAGAAAAGAAGAACCGCAAACCTTCATCATGAGGACCACAGTGTTGAGGGCGATCATGATCATGATAGAGTACTCGAAAGGTGGAGAAACAACAAACTTCCACATCCGGTATTGGAAAGACTGCTGGTTCTGGGGCATGTAGCGTGTCAGCGGTTTGGCATTGATGGCAAAGTCGATACAGGCTCTCTGAAAAAAGGAGCCAAAAGGAGCCATCCTTCAGTTTTCACTTAATCACTAAGCTGTGAATCCTAAAACTTTGTATTGCAGTTTGTAATTTATTAAAGTGTTTCTAGACCTGTAATAACCACATCCTTTCAAAGATACTTTAGAAAAAGCATTATTCACACTAATGCCATGCAATGTATCTGCCTCATTTCAGACTTCTGTTTACAGTGTTTCTGGCCCAGAAATTAGCCCGCCTGACCCTTTCCTGCTCTCCTTAACCTACTGAGCTAGTCATTTTGGCTTTGAAAAAATAAAGAAGGACAGTTTATTCAAATGATAAAGCATTTGTTATTAGCTTTGATAAACAACTGACTGTATGTTTTACTGTAATTACTACATAATTTATAGTAGTAACTTAATAATGTGCTATAAGATAGACCGATAACTGAAGAATAAGCAATTGCTTTAGGTATTAAAGCAAATTAAAGGGGTTAAAATTAGTTACTTAGACAGCTAGCCCACTAATGTAATGTCCAAATAGATCTGGCATTAAATAAGTAAATTTATACTACAGTGCTGTTTAATTCTCTAATTTAATTGCTCAGAAGGTGTAGGATGCACATGACACACGAGGCCCTTCGAAGTGCATTATTTTCATATGACAGCACAGTCTGGAGTGTGTTATTCTCAGTGATTTGCCAAGAATTATAATGTTTAATTTATTAATGAACGAGACATTGCACATCTTAATGGTTTATAGTTAGATTTAACGTTGTGGCACGTCTAAGAGACAAGTTCCATCCATCCATTTTCTGTACCGCTTATCTTACACAGTGTCACAGGGGGAGCCTGGAGCCTATCCCAGGGGACTCGGGGCACGAGGCGGGACGCAGGGCACAATCGCACACACACTCACACACCCATTCATACACTATGGACAATTTGGAAATGCCAGTCAATGCATGTCTTCAGACTGGGGGAGGAAACTGGAGTATCCGGAGGAAATGCAAACTCCGCACATGCAGGGTGGAGGTGGATTTAATCCCCCAACCCCGGAGATGCGAGGCAAATGTGCTAACCACTAAGCCACCGTGCCCCCTCACTTACATTACAGTTGTGATAAACATTTACCCCCCCCCTCAAAAAAAGACCACAGCCTTTCATTTTACAGAGAACCAGGAAAGCATAATCTCCGTTGTCCTGATGACTTTTCTGAGCTCTGAAACTTTGACTCTTACAAAGCGCTTACAACCGAGACTCCTGCCGTAAATATTAAGTAAATGTCTCATCATCTCATTCTTTAATGAATAAAAACATAAGATATTTATAGTAGCATCTTTAATGATTTTACTGATTAACGACATTAATTCAAAGGTAAATGGCAGTTTTACATGGTGGAATGATTTTTAATTAGACTGCATTCCTCCTTACTGTAAATCGAGCGCTGGCTACAGACGCAGAGCCGTGCAGGGTGAGGACATGGACAGAGAGGAAGTGTGACAGCGCTGCCTCTGCAGGCTGAGTGAACATGAACAATAGAATCTCCAAGGAGAAGAGACAGAGTCATCTCATTGTGTTTTTCTTCTGCTGCACTGAGTGAATATTTGTTTGTGCTGTGTCTGTGATCCAAGCTGCAGAATCAATCCTGTCCTTGGTTTAGTCCTGTACCTGCATCTGTTAGCATGACTGACTTCACATCAAAAGACCACAATGCACCAGTGAGCGTGACAAATTACTGCAGCTCTACAGCACCACTGTGGATAACTGTGTGCACAAAAGTGTTCAAACAGATGCAGAACTAGTCACTCCTACTTTCCTAACGACGTGATTTACACCTTAAGCTCTCAGGAGCTGTCTGTGGGTCACCTGAGGAGAGAATGACATTCCCCACTCTCATAATTACCTTTTCTATTAACGAGTGAACAATACTGAATAACATGCTTAACAATGTAGGTACTGTATAATAAGCTGGGACTTTAAGAGCCTAAGCATGGGAAATGTCAGCTCCTCATGCATCAGTGTTTTGGCATTAGCGTAAATTGTGGCATTTAGCTTTTTGCTGCATAACACATAACGCAGCACTAAAATGCTAAATGATCACAATTATTTTGTTCAATGCTAATCACAATATTGATATTTATTACAATTAGCTAATTTAGGGAATAAAACCTTTTACTACAGTTTATCATCATTTCAAAGTATACTGAACTCTGAAAAGTTGAAGGCAAAGCTTCACTGGTTAACTAGTGGTCTCTAAAAATCAGTGGACTTTCCCTTAATTTCCCTTAAGCGGTTAAAACTTTAAAGAAAACCTTTAAATAATATAAAGATTCAACAACAATAATAATAATAATAATAATTATTATTATTATTATTATTATTATTATTATTATTATTATGTGATGAACAGTATTGTCACTGTTACGGTAAATTTTAACAAGTTTGTCAGGCACTCATAAGCTTGTTTTCAATTTTTCACGGTCATTATGATTTACAGATCTTGGCTTTTTTTAATAAGCATTAAAGTGTTGAGATCCTGAGATTCCTGCAATTTTAATAGTTTCTTGAGCATTAAAATCATAATAATCCATTTATTATTGTAGAGAGATTATTGTAATGGTTTAATATTACATGTTCATTGATAATTTAAATCAACAGAATATGGGCTTTTATTTCATATTATAAACGTATATTCTTTCAAACAGGGATAATGGGCCTCATTTGTCAATCTTTTAGTAAAGTTGAGTGTAAATGTTTGCGTAAGCTGAACCAAACTAAAATTTTGATTAGTTTTATTTGTCTTACTTTGTGGTGGCTCTCTTTCTTTCTTTTTTTTGCAAATTATTTAATTAATGCCAATGTTGTTCCTCTTTCGGCTGCTCCCGTTAGGGGTCGCCACCGAGGATCATTGGTCCGCGTATTTGATTTGGCACAGTTTTTACACCGGATGCCCTTCCTAATGCAACCCTCTCCAATTTTTATCTGGGCTTGGGACCGGCACTGAGAGCGCACTGTTGCACGCAACCCCAGTGGCTGGGATTGGTTCCCTGGCTGGGAATCGAACCCAGGCCGCAGTAGCAAGGGCGCTGTGGCCTAAACACTAGTCCTCCAGAAACCCTGTAAACTTAAGTCAATAAATAAGCAATTTAACTTCGGCAGTACATTCCAAATGTTTATAAAGTACAGAAATCCATGCAAATTATACAATTTGAAGTTTACATTAGATAGTCACCTTATGTGTAAGAATTTTACACACAATCAGGAGCACAAATAGGATATGAACGTTTATCCGAGTTTACAGCATTTTCTTGAATAACAAATTTCTTGTGTAAACACTTGTACAAATGATTCATGTATAAATCTGTTCGTATCCAGCTTGATAAATGAGGCCCATTGTTAGAGACTGTTGTGATTGGTCAGTGAGTGATTAAACTGCTGCGACTCAAACTGTGATGAGTCAGTAAACCACTTTATATAATTTACCACTTACTACTGATACATATATATATATGGGTTAATATAGAGTGCTATAGAGGTACTCAGTCAATGTTGCCAGGTCTGCATTTTTTTTATTATTAATAATAATATATAATATCTACACACAAACTCTCCTGCTAGCACAACACGCAGTCACCTCATGGTTATTGAGAGAAAATAAAGACACTAGCCAGACTCAAATAATATTTTTTTAATATGCGATGTGAAGATAAAACACCATAGCTCACAGCCAAATGTTGCACCCTTAGGCTTCCTTTTACTTTCTTAAAAAGGGATGATGACTATGGCAGAGTCATCCCCTATGCAGGAATTTATAGACTTGTTTGTCTGTATTAACAATCTTAAATAGCTAACTATCTCATACATTATTACTTTATGTTTGTGGTCATTTTTATACTATGGCTGGAAGGCTAGCTAATAAATGTATATAAATTTAGTAAGTTTTTATGCTGGCTTTGAATTGCTATTGAGCTTCTTTTATCATGCAGACCTGCCAACTCTGGTACTGAGGCTTTCTGACTGGTTCTTACCTCATTTTTCTCCAGACTACACTCAGACAAGGCTTTGTCTCCCTGCTCCTGGAACGTGATAATAATCAAGGCCACAAAGATGTTGACGAAAAAGAAGGGGAAGACAACAAAGTAGGCCACGTAGAACAAGGACATCTCGATGCGGTAGCCAGGGCTGGGACCCTGGTCCTCCATGGTGGCGTCCACAGAGTGCTTTAGAACCCTGAGAACACACACATGCTGAGATTAATACATATTACAACGTCAGGAAAGACATTTTTAGTCATTATTATGCACATCCTTAATGTAAAAGTTGTGCTTTTATGAATCCTGTGCCAAATGCAGTGCTCTAAGAAGTTTTAATAGGCATGAGATTAATTAACACCATTAATCTCATGCCTATTAACACTATATCATCAGCACTTCTACTATAGTAATAAAAGTGTAGCAAAGTTTCTGATCTCAGGAGCATGCCGTATTTTAATTAACTTTTTTTTTGCTTCACCTCTAAACTAACCAGTTCATCATTTTTACATCATCGCATCAGTGAATTATTTAATAACCTACTTAATTTCATGATTTCGTCAAGAAATTAGGGCAGAAAGGGAAAGAGGACACGGGTGAAACTGCACCGGTGACCTGGTCTGGAGTCAGTCCTGTGAACTTCACTTAAATAAGCTATAAATCATGTAGAATTAAGTGGATCATGAGGCTCATCCTCAGTCAGCTGTGTGTGTGTGTGTGTGTGTGTGTGTGTGGAGAGCTGGAGCTGCCTGAGGAGAGCTCTGTTTAGCTGCTCTCTAAAACGCCACACACGACTTTGAACTGGGATCAGAGGAAGCCACAGTTGGGACAGAAAGGCCAAAAGAGATATCTAAAGTGGAGTGAAGCTTTTATGGGCTTTTAACCCTGAGAAAAAAACACACAGAATGCATAAACGTACATAAATAAGAAATAACTGCACCAGAAAGGCAAAGGAGAAATAATAATTTAATATGACTAGCACAGAGTGCTGTTTTTTAGGTTTCTGGGAAAAATCATTAGCAAAAAGTGTACTGCCACTGCCAGGCAATACTTTTTGAGTTTCTCGGGTTTTATTCCAGTTTGATCACTCAGAGCTCGGAGGTGCCAGCACTGCTAGCACATAAAGAGAAAAGATAGAATTTTACCACAAAAAAAGAGTTGAGAGTTGCACTCATCAACACTGTGAAATGCTAATTTCATCACCGGCAATTTAAAATTAGGCAATTACAGGCAATCCTGATGCCATATTATTCTGGAGAGAATGTTGGGGGAATGTTTGCTAGCTAGCTAATTGTTTTTTTCACAGAAGTGTGCCTAGAATCAGTAAAAAAACAGCAAGGAAAGCATCCAGCACGACCACTGCAAATAATTAGCAGCTCCTCCATTTTTCATAGTCCCACCCACTTATTTTCTATTGGCTCACAAGACTGAAACTCACAAATTTTACCTAGATAAATAAAGTTGGTGTAAAAGTAAGCACTATCAGAACCAGATGTGTGCCTTCAACATCCTGAATCCTTCCCTTCCAGTGAATTGACTTTTCCGTCTCACAGATTTTATTCACATTTAGTCTGAATGCTGCTTTAACTGATAAAGCATAAAAGCGTTGTTTTCAAATGTCTGCTGTAGCAAGGGAACAAAAATCCTGTATGCTACAGCTGAAACGTAAATGTTGGCATCTCTGAAAACGGCAGACAAGATGATGAAAGGAAATTTAAGGAGGCACTTTTAATGAATACATTATTAAAAGCAGGTACATTCTGAGGTAAAGCAGTTAATTAAAGCTTATAGATAAAAGACTAAGTGCCAGTATCAGTATCTACGGTGTGCTAATTAGAGTAATCAAGAATGTCCCTGACCTTCTCCAGTAAATTCAAGGTTATTTCCTATAAAATAAGAAATTACAAATATTTATCAGTCCATTTATACTTGTTTCATACTTACAGTTCATACTTACTTCTTGAAATTCTACCAAAATACTAAAATATAGTGTGTCCATAAGGTCCAAAGGTGTGTGCTTGTGTCTGGGTGTGTGTACTCACGTAGGCCAGCCCTCCCCTGTGGACACAGTGAAGAGTGTAAGAAAGGCCCACAGCACGTTATCATAGTGAAAGTCGTATTTCTTCCACTCCCTGGGCTGGGCCGAGACCTCATTCTTATCGTACTCCAGAAACTGCCCTCTAAAAACACACACAATCAGAAATATCTCATTTATTTTTATCAGTTGATATACAGTGCAAAAGTTTGCATGCCTTTAGGTCAAAATAAAGAAGACAAAGATTTAAATTACAACATCAAGACATTTGCATGTTATGATTCACAGAAGTAACAAAAATGGAACACTCAGTTAATGTTAAGATATTAGTAATGACAAAATCTGAAAATGATCAGAGTAATACTGCCTTTAACTGCCTTTCAGATCCTTGAATTTGTAATATTTAGCTGTAGAATGAGCGGCTCCTCTCAATACTCCTTTTCAAGCTGTTTTATCTGTTGATTTTATATTATGTTTTGAATAGTTGCCTCTTTACTACATACACTCATATTGTGTCTTATAGATAACTAAAATTAGAATTAGAAGTGAATTTTACTTTTTTTCACCAGAAACCATGGGGGGTGCAAACTTTCGCACTGTAATTATTCCTGTTTCTAGACTCAAGAATCTATCTGGTCCAGTGAGTGTCTTTATTTTATAAGCTCTTAAGCTTGACTGCTTTCTCTTCCCTCAAAGTGTTAGTGGAGGACTGTACCACTTTGCGCCTACAGGGGGAGCTGCAGATGTGAGAGCGGCGAGTTCAGTGCAGTGGTGATTGACTCTACCTGCAGTCCCTCTCCAGGCTTTTGGACTCGTCCGTGCAGTAGAAGAACTTGCCCTTGAAGAGCTGCACGGCAATGACAGCGAAGATGAACATGAAGAGGATGTAGACGATGAGGATATTCAGCACATTCTTCAGGGAGTTCACCACACAGTCGAACACGGCCTACAGGAAACACCAACACAGCATTAATGCAATCAGCTGAAACTGTAATGCAGTTATGAAGACTGTGATTGTTGATTTAGACAGTATAGGACCACATTCAGGGGTGAATTATGCATATTAAGTGGGGAAGAAGTATGAAAAAATGTGCATTCAGAGCTCAGAATTATCTGACTTCAGTGCTACTTAGAAAGCTGCATGAGGGGTGGAGTTTGTAAATAATTTTCTTTTATGTGATATCTATTCTGGCAAGAAGTAGTAATTCATGCTTTGGTTAATGTCATTTAATCAGATACAAAAACTACAGAATGCCATTTGAGGTCAATATTAATATTATATGGAATAAAATACATGGGCATGCTGTTATAGGAAAATAATCAACAATGCATTACCAGCCTGAAGGTTTATCAATTTTCCAATACCACTCTGAACATTATTTTCCAATAGCAGCACGTCCCAGAATATTTTTCCCTCTTATATGACAGCAATTTGCCAACAACAACATTTTTTGTTTTATTAATTATTAAGGAATGTCATGTGAGGAAGCCTCACTGTTTGCTCTTTCCTGAAAACACAAAAAATGCAGCTTGTTATTTTACTGATAAACCCCAAAGCCTAAAGTCCTAAAGTTACAGCTTTACTTCTGAGTGTAACAGAATGCTGACACTGGAGACTCCTTCCAAAATGTCCTCTCAGAAAACAAGTGCATTAATATATACCAGTGATTTATTTGCCTTAAAGCCTGCTCTACAGTCAGAGGTGCTTTTATAGAAAATTAATCAGCTCCTTCTGACCAATCAGATTAGAGAATTCAACTGTGTTGTGGCATATAAATAAAACATTAGGAAATAAATCATTGTATGAATCGTCCATATTTGTTGGATGTTCCAACTTCCAGAAACGGCTATAGTGCTGTTGTTTTTTATATCTCCTCCTGCTTTCTGATGCTGACTGTATCTGTACGAGGTGCTCACTTCAGTGAGATTTCAGTGCTGTAACATCTGGTTGTTTGTGTGAAAAATTGGGCTTTCTTCATTTGGCCTACTTCCACTATAATTAGGATCTGCTGTATACCTCTGTAGTATAAAAAATGCTGTATTATAGGC